CAACCCAAATGTCCATCAGTGACTGACTGGATTAAGAAAATGTGGCACATATACACCATGGAATACTATGCAGCCATAAAAAAGGATGAGTTCGTGTCCTTTGTGGGGACATGGATGCAGCTGGAAACCATCATTCTCAGCAAACTATCGCAAGAACAGAAAACCGAACACCACATGTTCTCACTCATAGGTGGGAACAATGAGATCACTTGGATACAGGAAGGGGAACATCACACACTGGGGCCTATTGTGGGGAGGGAGAAGAGGGGAGGAGGGACGGATAGCGTTAGGAGATATACCTAATGTAAATGACGAGTTAATGAGTGCAGCACACCAACATGGCACATGTATACGTATGTAACAAACCTGCATGTTGTGCACATGTGCCCTAGAACTTAAAGTATTTAAAAAAAAAACAAAAAACAAAAAGAACACAAAACTTTATGCAACTGAATGAAAAAAATAAAAAAAGAAATCATGTATTTTGTAGCAACATGCACGGAGTTGGAAGTCATTATCCTAAATGAAATAACAGAAAGTCAAATACTGCATGTTCTCACTTATAAGTGCGAGCTAAACAGTACATACACGTGGATATTCAGAGTGGTAAAACTGACGTTGGAGACTCCAAAAGGTGGGAGGGTAGGAGGTGTAGTGAAGGATGAGAAATTACCTAATGGGTACAATGTACACTATTTCAGTGATAGTTACGCTGAAAGCCCAGACTTCACCCCTACACAATATATCCATGTAACAAAACTGTACCTGTACTCCTTAATTGTATAAAAATAATAAAAAAAAAGAAAGTTAAACCTTCCAGCATAATGGGCAAAGGACACAAATAAGCTAGGCAATTCGTGAAAAAAATTATGCATAGCTAATAAATACATTTTTAACTCTAAGAAATGTTAATTAAAATGGTGAAATTCCATGCAAAATCTAACAAATTGGTGAAGATTAAATAAACTCAGTCAAGATAGGAGGAATAAGCCCTCTAAAATATTGTTAGTGATATAACAAGAAGAGATCAAAGAAGACAATTAAGAAGGTGAACAAGAAGGTATCTACAAACATACCCATTTTTTTATATTAGCAAAAATATCTGCCAAACAATGAGGGATTAAAGGAATTATGACATACACATACAATAAAACATAATGTAGCCATTAACAGATTATAGAAGAATACTCGATGACATGGAAAATGTGTGAAACATTTTTTAAATAATAAAAAAACACGTAGGCTTGCAAAATTCTAATTTTGTTTTAAAAAAGGAATACAGTATATTAGTATCTATATAAACAAAAAAGTAGAATGACATAAATCAAATGTTAAAACTGTTAGCACAGGGTAATGGTATTACAGATGAATTTAATTTTCTTACTGGTTTTCTGTATTTGCCAAATTTGTACATAAAAATGTGCTGTAATCAAAAACCACTACCTGCTATAATTATTATATATTTAAAAAGTTATAAAGAAACTCATGACTTTAAAGAGAATTCTTAAGTTCTCACAGAACTGTAAAGATATGACATACATTCCAGCTTACAAAAAGAAGTATTTGTCTTCTACATATGCTGCAGTAGGCAATCAATGGGTTAATTGGCAGGGTACCAATTTTTAAATTCTCCTCTGCTAAACAAAACAAATTAACATTAGAAGCTAGTTGAATTATCAATGGTTTGAAAATATTCTTACTGGCAAAACAAGTAGTAACAAAGGCAATAAATACAGCAGTAAACATTGTTAGAAGGTATTGACAGATTTTGAGGGATGGATTTTTTGAGCTACTTGGACAGAGAGAGCAGAATGAATGTCTCTACAACTGAGGCTTCTGTTGGTCTTGGAAGCCAAAGTCTGGACTGGTAGGAATGAGAGAAGTGGCCTCTGCCTTTGCAGGGAGTTAAGTGCTCGCTGAGCGCCCATTTGCAAGTGAGCCAGTTTCCAAAAGGGAGCATTAACACAAAGAAAACAACAGGCTGCGGTGCAGTGCCCTTCCCAGAAGAGCATAAAGTCCTGACCTTAACTATATCAGGGCCACCTGCTGCATCCCACTATAGAGGCTGCACCAAAACTGCCTCATGGCAAATATAGTTCTAGAATCATAAAACTGTGGACTTCCTGCAAAGGCCTAGAGTTGGGAGAGTAGTTAGGGTGTTCCACAGCCAGTGGGGAAATGAGTGTCTGTAGGGAGCAAGGGAAAGAGTGAAAGGAGATGAGATTATATTACTTGTTCCTTGTGAGATAAGAAGCCATTGGACAGTAGTGACCAGAGAAGCAACATGATCTAGAAGGTTCTAGAGGGACCACTCTGTTGAGAATAGACAACAGGCGACGCGGACAGTTACAGCCCAGCCCTAGAAAGTTCTAAATAACACTTTACTGAATGGACTTATTTAGGATCACACAGCCTAAACGAGTCCAGTTTTCTAGCCCAGTATTCTCTCTGCTTCACCACAGATTAGTTTAAAAGTAGCATCTTCTTGCCAAAGATCAGGGATGTCTGACACCTGGAGTCATTTTAAACCTGAAAACAGAAGTTCCTACATTTAAATTTTACACCAGCAGTCACTGGCATACTCCCTCAATAATTTTTATTATATCCTTGTATTACTGGAATTAATTTGATGTTAAAAACTTAAATGGAAGCTGGAGGGTTTGACCTGGTCTAGTCCTAAATCAGTTAAGGACTAGTATTTAATTGGCTCACGTCTGTAATCCCAGTGCTTTGAGACGCCAAGGCAGGAGGGTCGCTTAAAGCCAGGAGTTTGAGACCAGCCTGGGCAACACAGCGAGACACGGTATCTACAAAAACTTTAAAAACTTAGCTGGGTGTGGTGATGCGTGCCTGTAGTCCCAGCTACTCGGAATGCTGAGGCAGGAGGATTGCTTGAGCCTAGGAATTCAAGGATGCAATGAGCTGTAAGCGCACCACCACTGCAGTTTTTTCTACTGCACGTGACAGTAATAAAAAGCTATTAAAATAAAAACTATTCACGTACCACCTAAAGTCATTTCTCATACTACTGGTGGTACATATCCTATATTCTGGGACACACTGTTTTAGACGAAGAAGAACCTAGGATGACCCGTGTGTTCAGGGCCAGAGTTCAGCGCTGCGTTCACCGCTGCAGTGGAAATACATCAGAGAGACATACTTTGGCGGACTGACCTAAAGCACTGTAGCCGAAGTCCTTGGGCAAACCGGCCAGCTTGGTACTTTTCTCCACCCATTACTGAAGGAACCGTTTCTGTATCTTGCACAATGACAGCCATTTCACTGTCACGCTTTCCCAGCATACTCCGGTCATTTATGTTGGCAGAGCCTGTAAGGAGAAACAGCGAAGCTGAACGACCTTCCTGACCTCGCAGACACTGTTGGTTGCCCTCCCCACTCAATTGGTCCTTGCTAACAAAACCGTAATTTTGTCCAGGTTATCAAGGGAAGATGTGTTTTTAGGGAGGTGGGGCCCTCCTTCACCCAGGGGTGAATCTTAATCAGCCTAAGCCAGCCGTGGTAATTTCATTATTTTTATTAGTGACTGGCTTAGAAATGGGCTCTTGACATGGTGCTAGCCAATGTGACATGAAGGAAAGCTTCTGAGAAAGAGTTTCCCCTTTGTATAAACACACAAAAAATGGATTCTGTCTCTTCCATCCTTTGGATATTTTGGCTTGAAGGGTTGGAAGAAGACATGATTCCAGGAGCTGCTGCAGTCATTTTACAACCACTAGAGAACAAACAAAAAAGCTTTAAAAAAAATGCTAAGCAGAAAAAAGAGCCAGGCATGGTGGCTCAAGTCTGAAATCCCAGCGCTTTGAGAGGCCAAGGCAGGAGGATCGCTTAAAGCCAGGAGTTTGAGATCAGCCTGGACAACATAGCGAGACCTGGTCTCTACAAAAAGTTTTTAAAAAGTAGCTGAGTGTGGTCAGTGCCTGAGTGACGCGTGTCTGTAGTCCCAGCTTCTCGGAATGCTGAGGCAGGAGGATTGCTTGGGTCTAGGAATTCAAGTCTGCAGTGGGCTATAAATGCACCACTGCACTTCAGCCTGGGCAAAAGAGCAAGACTTCATCTCTAAACAAACAGAAAAACAAAAATTAAAAAAGAAGGAAGATTCTGGGTCTTTAAGTCATTCAGTTAGCCAACCTTTGAATAGTCTTACCTTCTGTTGTGTGAAATAATTTATTTTGTACATTGTTCCTTATTGTTTCACACACTTCTAGTTGAGTTTTTTCTTTTTTTGTTTTTTCTAGTTGAGTTTTCTCTCTTGTGGCACAAAAGATTCTAACTGATATAATCATCAAGCACTTGAAAAAAGGCATGCCTACCAGTTCAGTAGGAAAGATGGCTTTGCTTTTGGAGTTAAGAATCAGGCTCTCTGTAGACTTTAACTCATAGTCACATAACTGTGAATGTCAAAACTCAAGAGTACCTTCATAATCAATAGAGTATAATGTCAAATACAGATTGTCTTTTGTGGCTTTGGGCTTTCTGTTTTCTTGCCTCCCTCACTTGTGTAGCATGCCAATAGCTTCTGTATCAGTTTTCCTCCATTCTATTTTTTAAAATTATTAATTCTCTTTATTAGCTCAATACCTTGTTCATTTGAGGAATCTATTTTATTTTTAAATCCAAATGAGCTGAGAATGTTGACTTTCACATATGAAGGGCAAATATTTTGCTATTAGTTCAATCTGTACTTTCTGCAGTCGTCTGCTGTGTATTCAGGAACCTCATCATATTTTTTTTTTTGCATTAATCTCTGCAGATTCACACGTTTGAATCCTTGAGGTGTCCTACAAACGACAGAAAGGGCCTGACTATTCTTGTTCCTCTTGCTCTAGCTGCAACAACTCCACTGCTTCTTCAGACGTGGAGCAGAAGAGGCAGGTTGAACAGGCATCCCGGAGGCCCTCTCACTGGAGCAGCCAGAGCTATAAGGTGACAGCAGCCCTGCCAGAGCTCAAAGGATGAGATGAATGAGACAAGCTGCCCTTTCCTGAAGAGACTTTACTGCCTTTTGCCAGAATATTGTCACGTAGTTAATACCTAAAGCTATGATGACTATGGATGTGAGTGGTGCCCCATGGTGCCCTGGGTAACACAGAAAGGATTGAGCACCCTACAGAAATGTGAGAATGCTACTGGAGTGCTGAAAAGTGGGAACCTTTGAAACACTTTGTTTTGTTAGCAACAAACCATCCTTTATACATATACTTACATCGTGGTTATGCTATAAAATTTGCAGCTATATCTTTGAGCTTGACAGTTGACCCAACATTAACTTGGGCAATTCACTTAATCTTTCTCAGCTTTAACATAATCTTTCATAAATTGAGAGAATAATATAGACCTTGTAAGGTTGTTGTGGGAATTAAGTAAGACCATGTGACAGCACTTAATGATTTATAAGCTGCTCTACAAATGTTAATTATTACTGGCATTATCATCAGATCCTTGTTAACTCTATAATATCTGCACCGGAGAATGCTGCCATAGGAACTGACCATTTGATGGAACGTAGCATTTGTTTAAAGGAGCCTCCTCTCTGGCTTAATCGCCCCATGTGTGAACTGTAGGAACCCATAGTGCTACTTTAGGACTTTCACTGTGCCCCTGGAGCCAGCAGAGGCCGCTGTCAGGCGGGGACTGCTGGGCTGAACTGACATCACTGCTTTGTTTAGGGTCAGGAGAACCCGGGATGGGAGCCAGCCTGGAGAGCTCCCTCCACACACACACTCTCCCACCCACCCCCATTCCTCTCCCACCACGGTGGGCCCCCACATTCCCAGTGTTCTGAGCTGGAATTATTAGACAGAGGGTGTGGTTCTTGTATTTTAAGGGCCAAAATGGAGTTACTCAGAGCACTGACTCTTCACCACATTAAATAAGTGTGTTGGCTACTATTTAATAGGCATGTGAAGAAAGAAATGAGAAAATTTTAGATGAATGAATAAATTAGATATAATAAGCTATGATGGATGTAAATGCTCCCTCCATTCATTCCTGTATTCTGAAAATCAAATTCAGAACAACAGTTGTAGTATTACCCTATTTTTATATAACATATGAGGAAGAAGACAGAACAAGAGATCTAGAAAGATACACACTGAACTGTTAACAATAGTAGGTGCTTTTCAGTGAAGAGACAGAAGAAAATAAGGGGAGTTTTGATCTTTTACTCTATAAACATCCTTGTTGTTTATATGACCTATTCTGAGTCTGCTATTAGAAAACAGTCTAAAAATTGTGAAATACGGCAAAATACAAAAGGCTATATGAAACCATGTGTGTAAAACTTAAGCAATAATAAAATAGTCATCACTGAATTTATTACCCAGGCCAAAAACAATATTACCACATCCCAGAAGGCTTTGTGCACCTTCCCATGCATGCTCTTCCCTCCCCAAGAGGAAGACTTGATGTTTAATTTTGTATTCATCACGCTCTGAATGTTTTCCTAAACAACAAAAGGAAGAGTTTATTTCTGACTTGTTTTTAATTTATATAAATGGAATCATATAGCAGATAGTCCTTTGAGATTTGCTTCTTCCTTTCAGTATTATGTCTTTGAGATTTATCTGCACATAATTATAATGCATTTCTTTTCCTTGAATGAACATACTAGGGATTTCTTTATTTATTCTGCTATTGATGGATGTTTGGGTTGCTTCCAGAGTTTTGCTGTGATGCACAATTCTGCTGTACATAGTTGTGAATTTGTTTCTTGGTACAGACATGTGTGAGTTTCCTAGGCTCTGTATGTAGGCGTGGGTTGCTAAGCTGCAGGGTGTATGACTTTACTAGATAACACCAGAATGTTTTCCAACTTATACTCCCAATAGCCGTGGAGGGGAGTCTGTATTGCTCCACAGCCATGCCAATCCTCAGACTGCCCCACTTTTAAATGTTTGCCAGTCTGGTATTTTTAAAAACTCTTATTTGTCTCATGTTAATGAGAAGGAACATTTTTTCATATGCTTATGAGGCTTGGGTATGTTCTTTTTGGTGAAGTTCCTATACAATTGCTTTGCCCATTTTTCTTTGGACATTTGTTTTTTCTTATTGATTTATAGGAGTTTTTTATGTGCTCTGTATATTAAATGGGTTGCAAATATCTTATTTCAGTTTGTGGTTTATCTTTTTATTCCCCTTTACAGTACTTTTAATGAAGAAATTTCTGAATTTTAATGCAGTTGGATTTATCTTTCCTTTCCTTTGTGGTTTGTACTTGTTTTGTGTGTCTCACTCAGAAATTGTGAATCCTTATGTGGTATGCAGAATAGCAGCTCTCCAAAATGTCCATGTTCAAATCTCCAAAAACTGTGAATATATGTTCAATGGCAAAGGGGAACTAAGGCTGCACATGGAATTAAGGTTGCTAATCAGCTAACTTTAAAAATAGGGTGAGCAGCCTGGATTATGCAGGTGGACCCAATACAATCATAAGGTCTGTAAAAGTGAAAGGGAATCAGACTGAGTTATGATTACAGAAGAATGGGTTGAGACTTTTGGGGGTTTTTCAGAGATAGAATGTTGCTGACTTTAAAGGTGGAAGAAGGGGCCATGAGTCAAGGAATGTGGGCAGCCTCTAGAAGCAAGGAAATGGACTCTCCCTAATGGCCTCTAGAAGAATGCAACAGCCCTGCTCACACTCTGATTTTAGTCCTGTGGGACTCACAAGACTAAACCTACTAAACCTAACCTACTGAAGTGTCAGATAATAAATTTGTATTGTTTTAAGTTACTAAGTTTGTGGTCATTTGTTACAGCAGTAATGGAAAACGAACGCACCAACTCTACCCCATTTTAGTTCGTTTTAAAGGAAAACTGGTTCTTCTATTGAGCACACTGGGCGACTCTGTCTTCTCTACCTACTTGTATTTCCTTTGCCTCCAGGTCAGAGGTTCTCAGCTCTGACCACACAGGAGCATTACCTAGGAAGGCTAACAAGGAAACTTTTTAAAAATACCGATGCCAAAAACCAAACCAAAAAAACCCAGATGCCTGACCCCAAACCAGACCAACTAGATCATAATTTCTAAAAATAAGAACCAGGCATTGGTATACCACTTCATCCCTGTATCCATCGTCAATTCATATTTTTGTTTTGATCCATTTAAAAGTAAATTGCAGACATGAGGAAATATCCCCCTCTTTACTGGGGCAGCCCTTCAATTCCAGACTCTCATCTGCCACAGTGAAGCCTGCCCTTTAAATCCTGAGACTCATGACCTCGACTTAGTTTCTCCTCCTACTCATACTTGTTGATTGCCCCTGAACCTTCTTGTTCCTGTTCGGCCACGTCCATCCTAGTGTTTCTGTTCTCATATGGAAGGAGTAGCTGCCTCTCCTCCAGCCCGTGATCTCTGGGAGGGCAGTGGCGCTGTTTTATTCACGTATCGCATCTCTCTATTGTGCTTTGCAGCAGGTTAGTGAACATTAAAAACAACCATTTCACTTAATCATCAGGATAGGCTTAAATTTTACTTGAAGGGTAGCTTGGCTTTGTTTAGGAAACCAAATAAATGTGTGTCTGGTTAAAGGCTAAAATTAAGATGGGTAAGAAAACTGGAGTTGGTCACAGATTTCATGACCAGCAGGGTTACCCAGGGCCACAGGCAATTAAAGCTATGCACAAAAGCGATCTTCAGTGTGAGAAAACAAATATTTCCTCATGAGGAGTAAAGTGAAGATAAACGGTCATTTTTCTCATGTCAGCTACTCAATCTTTCTGGCATAAGTTTGCCATGGAAGAAAAATAAATCATACATTACTTAAATCTCCTTTAAATGTTTAAATACTTGCCTAACACCTGTAACATATTCTCAAACTAACTTCTCAAATTCCTCTCTGAGAATTTTAAATACTGTTTTCTGTGTTAGGAACTTAAATAGGGTGAATGTGTTAGAACAGTAACAATAAACCTGCTTATTCTTGAATTTCCACCAAGATAAAAAGAACAAAAGAAACTTTGGATTTTTTTCCTTGGGAGAAATTGATTCTCTAAGGCAGTTGGGGAAGGAAAAAAGGAATTCAGCCTCCATGGACTAGCAAGTAAGACCTCTTTAGACTCCCAGGGCCACATCCTCAGTTTCAAGAGAATGTGTAAGAATTGTGTGCAAAATTGATAAAGTATTGCTAAACAAAAGAAATTGGAGTCTTTGAGGGTTTAGAGACTTTTCCAGAAAATAAGTCAATTAAAAACCTGAACAAATTTATTCAACTGTTAGCTCTGTTACCGAAAACTAATTTGTATTTATACTTCATGTAAAGTAAACGAGGCTAAAAGTCAAAATGACCTTTCAAAAAAATATTTACATCTGTCAGTTTTTACTTCAAGGCTTCTGAAATCTTGGTGAAGAAACATGTGGCTTTGTTTATTTTCATTTTTCCATTTCAGGAAACATCAATAGTTTTTATTTCTTACTGTCATTGTCAAATTTAATTCAAAAGTATTCTGAGGTTTGCTTTTGAAGAGCAAGTCAGAGGAGCTCAGGAGAAATAAATGAAATCTTGTGTATTAGAGCAAGTGGGGGAAAAAAATAAACTCCTAAAGAGCTTTTATCCCTATAGACCAGGAGATAAAAGAACAATACTTTTTCATGTGCTATACAAATATTAAAAGTAAGTGTGTGTGTGTGTGTGCGCGCGCGTGTGTGTATCTCACCATACTGTGGTTTACACAGTTTCTGGCTATAGACGAGGAGATAAAAGAACAATATTATTTTGATGTGCTATACAAATATTAAAAGTGTGTGTGTCTGTGTGTGTGTGTGTCTGTGTGTGTGGTGTGTGTATGTATCTCACCATACTGTGGTTTACACCGTTTCCAGCTTTAGAACTGTTTCTTTTCTCTTCAAATCATGTTCCAGATAAGACAGTCTTACTACTCTCAGATATGAGATATTTTTCCTTTTCTCGGTGGAGAATAGAAAGCATATTTATTGTCCAAAATTTTCAAAATACTCCATGGCATTTAGTTTCTTGAATAATAGGAAAGTATCTTATTCAAGCTGATAAACTACATTTTATTTGAAACAGATGAGCAGAATTCCCATTAGTGGGAGATATCTCTCTAAATAACATGCCCCTCACTGGTTACCTCATTTATCTGGTTGGTCATCTCCCTAAATAACATGCCCCACACTGGTTACCTCATTTATCTCGTTGGTTATTTATACTCTGTCATCCTGGACTTCCAATATGCATTTTATACAATATTAATATTAGAAGTCAAAATAATTCAATGATGGAAGAATGAAGCTTTCTGTGTGTATAAAAGAAGGAAGCTGAACATCTACCTCTCTGATCAAACTAATCTAATTTAGGTAGAATGTACAAGTTATTTAGGAGAGTAACTCTCCTGAATCTGTCAGTGGGAAGAGACCTTTGGAAAAATCCTCTGTGTATCCTTGACAAGAAAAGACTGCAGACCTTAGTGTAGGGCTACGTCCCACCATTAGTACACAATACCCACTTCACCCACGCACATCAACAAAGTTGGACTGCTCTACATCCTAATTAATGACATGCAAAACATACATGTTAGGAAAAATAATGGCATGCATAGAGGCAGCAATACTTTACCATCCTTCTGATTTCGACTTTTGTACAACTTCAGATCTGTGGTAATGGTTAGGTGGACGTAGTGTAAACACATACGAATTACCACAAGGTACTCACTTAAGATACACTTTCCCTCCTCATTTATCCCCCCACCAATCCCTGAAATCTGGGCACTTGGATTGTAAATAAAAATAAGGGGATAGCCGGGTGTGGTGGCTCAGGCCTGTAATCCCAGCGCACGGGAGGCTGAGGTAGAAGAATCATTTGAGACCAGCCTGGGAACACAGTGAGACTCCCATCTCAAAAATAGCTTTAAAAATTAAAAAAAATAAGGGAGTAATAAAGAATTAGTGAAATCTGGCACATTATTGGACTGCCGGGTTAAACAGCTGCCCCTGGATGCTGCAATTTTCACGAAGTCCCTTTAATTGCTCTGTATCTCTGATTCTTCATAAATAAAAATAGTTTAGTCCACAAAGAGATGATAAATGCTTGAAGTGATGGGTACCGCAATTACCCTGATGTGATTGTTACTCATTGTATGACTGTATCAAAACGTCGTATGTACCCCACAAATATATACACCTATTCTGTATCTATAACAATTTCAACAGATGGGTTAGAAAGGACATAAGAGAAAAGGATAGCTTCAGAAATGTTTTAGAGATGATGTTACTATCTCTTTCAAATGCAAGGGAAGCTTAGGAGGAATCGCAGCAAACATTTTTGCATGGGGTAAGTCAACTGGCAAGGAATACAATAATAGACCATATACTGTACTTACCAATAATAACAGTGTTATCATCAGCAATTAACAACTTGCTGTGGACATAGATAAGCTCGGTGACTAGGTTTCCTTCGAGCTCTGCATGTGTTCTAAGACCACAGAATGATATGTAATTTATCCACTGATTGCCAACTGCAAATTTAAAAAGAAATTATTAAAATTAATGTGACCAAGCTCAATAAATATACATTAAATCTTATTGTTTCTCAAAACATACTACTTGGATTGTTCAGAATAGATTGTATATTATATGTATATTTTTTCTATTTCAGAATTCATCCAGGATTTTTTTTTGGTATCTGAATTTCATATTGTCAATCTGAATGGCTCTATATATATATATTTTTTTTAACTGAAGTGTCTTCTGTCTTCCCTTTGCTAAGGCAATCCAAAAAGCTATTCGAATATGAACATTTTATTTCAATGATTTGATGAGTTAACTACTGAAGAGTGATGGTGAACGCTGAGCCAGAATAGATTAACCAAGACTTCAGTGTGACATTTGCTTCTATCCTGCTTGACACTTGCTGCAGTTTGAATCAGATGCAAGGTGTGTGACAAACCACCTGATGCTACATCATTTGTAGCACATTCAGCATGAAGCATCAGTTAAATTCTGCAGACATTGGGTAAATAAAAATATTGGCAATAAAAACCATTCCTCCCTTTAGATCATTAAAATTAGGAAACAGAAGAATCCTTACTACATTAGACTTAGAATTTTCTTCAGAGCAAGCAGCACCAGGTTTGTACTTTAAAATATTGCCCTCCATCTCATCACGTGGGGGCCATTCAGATGATGAGAAGAAATGCATTCCATACTAAGCCAGCTCATAATCATGACCCCTAGTGTGAGTGTTAGTCACAGGATTTTACGGTCTTTCTCCCACACAGCAGTTGTCTTGGATAAGCAAAGTCTGATACCAAGAATAAATGGAGTGGAACCAAACCATCACAAATTCTAATATCAAGAGAGCATACTTTTTTTTTTTTTGGTCTTTTTTTTTGTCTTTAAGAGAATTCGAAGCATAGAAAGGTGGCAGTTCATCTCCCATTTACTGAAGTTTCCATTTATTACTGATGGTTTCTATTTTGCTACTGAAACTATTCAGTGTTTCTATTAAGTCTGGGTATCTTGGAAAGAAATCCATTCATAGGTTACGTACAGAGATGCCTGCATTTAGAGATAGCTTTCCCCTCATATACATATGAGTGATGTTGTATAGCTGTGTTTGATGAGAGTTGAAATGTTGGTATACTAGTGCATCGTGTGTAAGAGATGCATTTCTAAAAAGTTTCATGTAAATGAGATTTTTGCAATCAACTTGTTCCCCTATTTGTTAATGTTATATTGGAAAGATGCTTCATCTGAAGAATCACCTCCTTTTTTAAGTATTTTCTGATCCATTTCCTTTATTAAGCCCCTCAGACCTATAAAATTCCTGGATAACGTTTCTAACATAATGCCTAGTATCTTACAAATATTTATGTAATCCTCAATTTATTCTACTGTTATACAGGAACTGGATCTTACACATCTTGGTATTCTTATCCATTCACAGTGCTAAAAAAAAAAAAAAAAAGCTGAATAAATGTGTGCCAGCTGAAACTAAAAAATATTTTACCTTTTAATTTCTCTGTATCATCTACTCTCCTACAGCTGCATCATGATCTAGAATTTATAAGTTTAAGATACAAAGCAGCTTTTCAAAGGAATCATGGAGCAAGTCCTTTGCTAAAGTAAGTATTTTTTTATAGTAATTTCCATTAAAATTCACATTGAACAATATAGAAGACCAGTGGTTCTCAGAGTGCATGAAGACCACCTCTATGGAACTTGTTAAAAGCAGATTCCTGTGACTATTCCCAGAATTCTGATTCAGCAGAAATCAATTCAGTAAGTTCCCTAGGGGATATTGTTTTTGAATGACACTGCCATAGAGCTTTGATAATTATTTAAGATTAGTATACACTAAGAAAATAATACACCATGACCAAGTGAGATGTATTCCAGGATGCAAGTCTGCTCAATATAAGGAAATCCATTATTAGACATTAAATTGACCAATCTAGGGAGAAAAATAATTATCTTAACAGATGCTGGAAAGCTTTTGACACAATTCAGTATCCACTCCTGATAAAAGCAATGAAGAAAGTAGGAAATGATGAATACTTTCTTAACATGCTGAAAAAATATATAATATATGTATTATACATTTATATGTATATGTGTATATAATAATTTCAATACTATTTAGCATTGCCTTGGAAGTATCAGCCAATACAGTTGTGTAAGAGAAATCATATAAAAAGTAAAGTCATCCCCACTTGCAGATACTATGAAAACATAACTGAAGAATCAGTAATAAAATTATATCAAATAATAAAAATATTAAATATAATAACAGGATATAAATTAACATATAGAAATCAACAGCCTTTATACACACAAAACAATAACCACTTAGAGAATATAATCACAGACAAAGCCCCATTTAGAATGACAACAAAATAAAAGAGATAAACTTAATGGTTCATGTGCAAAACTTTTATAAAGAAAAAGTTAAAACACTATCAAGACACAAGAGTAGACTTGAGCAAATGGAAAGATTGCTCTTGTTCTGGGATAGAACAATTTGGGATAGAACAATTCACCATTATAAAGATGTCACCTCTTCCCAGGTTAATTTATAAATTTAATGTGATCTCATTACATTACATGAGATCACATTAATGTAATGTAATCTAATGTATTGTAATGGAAAAAATATCAACAAGTTTTCATGGAGTTAGATAACCTGTAGTTTGTATGGAAAAAATAAACATGCAAGAATAAATTGAGAAAAACAGAAGAGAAAAGCTATGAGTCATTAGCCCTATCAGATATTAACATATACTATAAAGTGTGTATAATTAAAACAGTGCAGATCTAGCAGATAAATAGATAAACCAGTGAATGGGATAGAAAGTCCAAAAAGAGATGCAAATACATAAGGAAATTTTGTATATGATAAAGGAAACAGCTCAAATGATAAGGACGAGGACTTTTAAATAAAAGGTGCTAGTACAGTTCCATAGCCACCTGAAAAAGATAAAACTCCAAAATTTTTTTATCAAGAATAAACTCCAAATGGATCAGAGATAAAAATGTAAGCAAATGAAATCAGACAAGTGATAGAAGAAAGCAAGCGTGAATTCCTCTCTACCTCAAATGTAGGAAAGACTTTGTAAGTATCCAAACGCAAAAAAAAAAAAAAAAAGAAAAAAGAAAAAAAGAAAAGAAAAGATTGGTAAATTGGTTAGATTAAAAAAATAACAACACATTTGCATGACACGAAACACCACCAGCAAAAAACAAAAGGCAGAAGACAAATTAGGAGAAAGTATTTGCGGTATATGTCACAGATAAAAGAGGTGATAATCCTAACATATAAAGAACTCTAAATAATTGAAGGGAAAAGAAAATCAAAATCTTAATAGAAAAATGGGCAAAAGACATGAATAGACAATTCACACACAAAAAAGGTACATTTGAAAAGATATCCATGTTGACTCATAATGACAGAAATGCAAATAAAAATGACATTGAGAAACCATTTCATATCTAATAAGACTGGCAAAAAATAAAAAGTAGGACAACATATTCTGTTAGTGAGAATGGGTTGAAGCCAGACTCTCATATACTGGTGATAAAAATGCAAATTTGTACAAATTTTTTGAAGGGTCATTTAGCAGTATCTAACAAAGCTACCTATGTGTTTACCTCCTGACCCAGCAATCCCACTCTAGAAATTTACTCTAAATATATACCTCCAACAAATAAGAACATATATGCATATATATTAATATATACACAGTTACCCATTGTATATAGTTCTATTAGAAACATATAATTGTTGTTGAAGTTAATCTAACTGCTCCTTCATAACAAAGTGATTGAATAAACTATGGCAAATCCACATATGGAACACTATGCCGTGTTAAAAAGAAATGAAGATCTCTGTGAATTAATATGGGGTGATTTCCAGGATATTCTGTTAAATGGAAAAGAAAAGGTGAACAAGAGAATATGCAGTATATTTTTTGTGAAAGAGATCGGGAGAAATAAGAACATATACACTTATCTGAGCATTTTTCCAAGAAGAAACACAAGATTAACCTAGAAACTGATGAAACCAGTTACCAATAGGGGATGGATGAGTACAGGGTGAAAAAGATAAAAGGTTGGGGTAGAAACTGAAAGTATAGAGGAATGGCATTTATCTAAATATACTTTTTGTATAGCTCTGGCTATTGGAAGCATAGCTCATGCATTCAAAAAAAAATAAGAGAGATTTAAAAAAACCCTGACATGTAATATTAACCAAAGCAAATGAACCAAACCAAATGAAGTTAATAACATAATCCAAGCAAATGAAGTTAACAACATAATCCAACTACTTTTGATCACAGACATTTGAGTGTACACCCTTAGGCTAAAGGCAAAAAACACTATAAGCAAATGTTAAACTCTAGTAAGTAGATTCATTTTTCACAGTGGTATGGGCCAGCAATCCCAAAATTATTTTCTGTGTATTGTAAGGTTGAGGAAATACATAAATATGCTGCGGATTAGGGAGCTGTGTTTCTCACTGTGAAAGAAAGGAGGTATAAACATAAAGAGAAGGATGACTAGAAGGAATCCTATGTTGTGGGATTGGAATTGGAGGTATCCATATGACAAGAAAGAGAGAGAACAGGTTTGTGTGTGTGTACAGAGGCCCAAAGTAGTGATATTCTAGTAGCAGTGATCACATCTAGCACCCAGATTTTGCTTTATAAATACAATTTTTCACTAAAATAACCTAGGTTCCTTGGAGAAATGGCTGATTGCAGGGCCAGTGTTGGGAATATATGAGTCTGAGACACCTTGTTGTGCCAGTAAAAGAAGACGATTACTGGGGACATGTCCAAAAAACATCAAGCCACCTTTAAAAGGCCCTCATTGGCCAAACCTGGGCAAGCTGAACTCCAAGATCTTAACTCATTGAATAAAAGAAGCTGTAAATCCATACTAATATAAGTACATAAATGGGGAAAAAGGGAAAACTTTCCTTACAGTAAAATTCCAACTAATTAATTTAAAAGAAACT